TGCACAGGGGTGGCCGGGAAAGGAACTTGCATGCATTTCTGACCTCTGAGGGTGGTTGGGACCATGTGTGACCCTTCCATGGCATTTGTTCATTCGTTTCCTTCATTCATTCATTCGGCAAATCCTTAGTGAGCACCTGCTGGGGAAGGTACCTTCTGAACCTGCAGGGCTGGCCGTGAGCAGGAGGTTCTGGCCCTCCCGTCCATTCCATTTACAAAGCATCTACTGCATCTCGCGGGGGCCAGGAGCACCCTCCCCCAGACCAGGGGCTCGGCCAGTCAGGTTCTGCTTGGCTGCTGCTGAGGCTCCCCACGGAGGCAGAGCCAGGCCCCGGGGACTGGACACAAGACACGCCTGCCCCGGGAGCAGGCACAGGCGGACGCTGGCCCACGGCGATTAGCGCTGTGAAGTGGGCCCGGAGGGGTCCCCCACCTGCCCCTCCAGCTCCCGTCTCCACCTCTGTCCGCAGAGCTGTGCCCGGAGGCTGACCACCATGGCTGCCCTCTGGCTGCTGGCTGGGTTTAACCAATGGGGCCCCTAGAAGGAGACCTGAGACAGGAGACAGAGGGCCTGGGGTGTTTGTCCCACCTCCCTCGCTATCCTCTCGGCTGACTCTGTCCCTTTGGGCACAGCTCCCTGTGTCAGCAGATACCCCCCGCGCTCTCTCTCTCTCTCTCCCTCCCCCCTTTCTCTCTCTGTTTCACTCCCCAGGCCTGGGGGTGGTGACAAAATCTCCAAATGTACCAGTCCCAGTCCCTGTGATGCCCTTAGAACATTCCAGAACATTTGTGAATAGTCTTTCTAGGGAGCTCTTCTCCAATCACCCAGTTGGTGTGTACCCTCAGTCCCTTGCCAGGACCCAGGGGAGCCTTGCCTCAGTCCTCCTGGAAGCCCCTGGGACATCCGAAGAAGAGCCACTTCAAGGAAGGGGTTCCAGTCCTCATTGCCCCCAAATGTCCCCCTGCCGATCTCTGACACAAGGTCAGAGAAAGCAGTGTGGTGTCAGGACGTGGCACTGACGCTGCAGACCGTGGCTCTGGCTGAAGTCCAGCCTCGTGGTGCGCGGCCATCTCCCGGAGCTGCACAGGCTGGACAGGGGAGCCCGAAGCCCCTCGTGGACAGGAACCAAAAGGCGGCTCTTGGCCCAAACTTGCCAGGCCTCAGCCCTGCTAAAAGCTTCTCTCTGTGAGGGATCAGAACTCCGAGGGCCGACTCATCAATGAGAAGCGAGACAGCAGAGGCCCTTGTGTCATGGTGCTGTGTTATCGCATTAGGAGGTGGTCAGATATCGCTCCACCCTCTGCCCTCTGCTGGCGAGACCCAGGCGGCAGAGGGGCCTCCCCACCCCATACCCCACCCATCACCATCCAGAAAGGACTGACATTAAGAGAAGCTCCACAGGCGAGATGACAGTGTGACTTCTAGTCACAGCTTGTCCGTTCTCCTGTGGGCACAGGAGGCCGACGTCCCCTGGTGTCCCATAAAGATGCTGCAGGTTAGGGTCTCAGGTACCACACTCTCCTGGGGTCAGTCTGTCAGCCCAGGTTTTCCCACAGGAAGGAAACATGTCACAAGAAGATGTGTCACTTTCAGCCTGTGACACATTCACCCGGGGGCCCCTGAGCATCTGAGCCTGCCCAGCCTGGTGTGGCACTGGACGACCTCTCGTGGTCCATCCAGGTGGACCTCTGCCTTCTCGCATCCTCTCCACTCTACTGGTCCTATAACTTGGGTGATACTGAAGATGTGGCGCGTGTGCGTGACCCTTGTCAACCTAGGGGTCCACGCGGCTCTGTCTCAGGCAATGACACCGTCCAGAAGCACAGATCAGCTTCCGAAAGGGAGAAGGGCATTCCAGTCTGTGCACGCCTCTCCTGAAGGACATGGCAGGGAACCACTTCCCAGCCATCAGAATTGCTTCCTGGAACCCCCCTCAGTTAATTCGACGCGCCCCCCCATGCTGCCCCAGGGCCTCTGCTAGGCAAACCCCCCAGCACCTCCTCTTGGCCCAGGCCCATGTAGCTGGTATTCCTTCTCCCTGGGCTCTTACTGTGCGGATGAACTTATCCTTTGTCTCATGCAGCAGGAATCCCTCTCCTCAGGAGAGGAGAGCGGAAGAGAAACAGAGTGGATGGACAAATATAAAACTCTCTGTAGCGGGGGCGGGGAGGTCTGTGAACATCTGCACATCAACCGTGTGCAAAGAGCGTTCATTTAGTCACTCAACTACTCAGACAACAGCCCGGGTCCTTGCTGGGAAGAGCAGGTCTGATTGGTTCAGGGATCTGCCCTTTGTCAGCCACAGAGTTTACTTCTTAGTGTCTCTGTTTATTTCCCCTCTGTTGTTGCCTAGTGTCGTCGAAAGTCCAGGGCTGTCTCTCCCAGACTAAAGGGAAAGTACGGGGGCATCTTCTTATGATGTTTGAGAAGAGCACTGAAGGGGGTCTTAGCTCCTGGCCCGATGGTTCTGATGGCAGCTGAGATGGGAGGGAGGACAAGAGACCCCCAAGAGGCAGGTGGAACTGAGGCAGGGGGGCCCCACGTCTCCTCCCGCGGGCTCCCTTTCCAGGGAGCGATGGCCCTGCAGCCCCCAGGGTTATTTCCTGAGAAGGGCCGCGTTTCCGTCTCCCGAGGTCCTCCCCGCCTGACGCCTCTCCTTCTCCCGCCAGCGTCATCATGACCGGGGCCTACAACAACTTCTTCCGCATGTTTGACCGGAACACCAAGCGGGACGTGACCCTGGAGGCCTCCCGGGAGAGCAGCAAGCCCCGGGCCGTGCTCAAGCCGCGGCGCGTGTGCGTGGGTGGCAAACGCCGGCGGGACGACATCAGCGTGGACAGCCTGGACTTCACCAAGAAGATCCTGCACACGGCCTGGCACCCGGCCGAGAACATCATCGCCATTGCCGCCACCAACAACCTGTACATCTTCCAGGACAAGGTGAACTCTGAGATGCACTAGGCCCTCAGAGCCCGGTCCCGCCCGCCAGCCTCTGGCAGTGTCCCCAACCGTCAGACGGCGACCAAGGAGAGGAGGAAGATGGCAGCGGCAACAAGGACAGCCATGGCAGTGGGGTGGCGGCACAGTCGGTGACTTTAGCCTCGTCCCTCCCCAGCTTCCCTGGGCCAGAACCGCCCTTGCCGGTGATGGTCTGTTTAAAAAAGGACGACAAAGGATTCACGGCCACAAGTCCTAAAATGGACGTGACTGTGGGCCCTGAAGTTCGGGGTTCTTTCCTTCCCGTACTTGACCTGCCTGCGGTCTTTACCACATTGTTAGGATTTTTCATCTCTGGGTTAATTTTTCACTCCAGCGCTTCCTTTCCAGGGAACTGGGAGCAGCTGGGAGCTGTTTCTCTCCTGCGCCTCCCTGGCCCCAGATCTTGGCTCCGGGGACAGATAATGGGGCGTTTTCAAACAAGCCAGCCAGGGATTCTTTTGATTATAAGCGGAGCGGTTTCCACTGTCTCCTTGCTGAGGGTCCCGCCTTTGGGTGTTGGGTCGCGGATTCATGCTGAGAATTTGCGGACGCAAGCTCCTCCTCTGGGTTCTTTGAATGTCTTTCAATATCTCAGGTCCGTGAGCGTTTCCTGAGAGGGAGGGGGAGATCTACCCGTGTGTGTGCCTGTTATCCTCCCGCCCGCCCCCCTCGCCGCTCGGGGCTGTGTGCCAGGCACGGTGCTCACCCCTTGGGCGCACTGATTCAGTCCCTGTGCCTGCTCTGCGGGGCACTCCTGCCGTCCCTCCAGAGTCCCAGGGCACCTCGTGGGAACTCCTGCCGGCTCTGTCCATGACCTTTCTGAATCCCCATCATGACCCCGTGAGGTGGGTGTTCATTCATTTCCTCCATAAACACCCACTGCTCACCGAGTGCCAAGTGCCAGGGATCGAAAGGTGAATAATTTATCATCCACTTTGAACACACAAGGAAACTGAGGCCCGAAAGGATAAACAGTTGCTCAAGGAGTGCACCAGCCACGCAGTGGGGTCGGGACTCCCGTCCAGGTCTTCGCACAGGCGCCTCCTGATCCATTGCATTGGTGGCTCATATTAAAGGGACAGTCTAGCCTGGAAGGTTCTGGAGACGTCTCTTCATCCCGTGAAGCAGGACAGAGCAGGTGGGATGATGACGAGGGTCCGAGACTCGGAATGGAGAATGGACAAGATCCCGGTGCTCCCCGCCGTTGGGTAACTTCAGGACTCCCCACTCTGCCCCACGTCTGCACCCGAGCTCCTCGCTCAGATGCACTGAACTGCCTCCAGAAGAAAACTGCATGATCTGACCATTTTAGGATGCCTTTTCTTTAATGACCACACCGTCTCAGAGGACACTTTCCTGAGGGCCACAGTAGTTCCTCCTGCTCTGTCAAGACCAGACCCGCCCACCGCGCCAATCATGCCCACTTGTTGTCTTTGCCCATGGATTTGCCACGGAAGCACGTGGCTTTGCATTTTGATTCCAAAAGCAGAGTGCAGAGGCCCAACGGAATCCAACCTTTTTTAGCAAGATGTCCCCTCATCCGGGAACTAGACCCCGCCCGAGATTTTTCTCAATGGATAACGGTGTATTTTTGTGTGGGTCAAAGCACAAAACGCATGTGCGCTCACTTCCGGCCATGATATTTACACGAGGAAATGGGTCCATTGATATTTTTTTCTTTTTTAATCAACGTGAATGAAGAATGTTTGTTTATATATCACTGTAAAATCCAGGTGACCTGGACAGTATTATATGTACATATCTACTCTAATTAAAATTAACAATCACAGGATTGGGTTCCTTCTTTTCCCCTTTATAAAGAGGTTCAAGAATGTGGTAAATTGTATAGAAATCTTGCTGAAGCCAAAACCCAGCTCTGAGGGCCTTACACAATTACTCGGATATTTGGCACAATCCATTTCCCTTCGCTGTTCAGACGCTGAGAGGACACCTGCATTTGCAGCCGGAGGCCACTGACATTTACCGTCCACGGCGTACAAACCAGACACTGGACGTCCGCATATGCTTCCTGGTTCCTGACTTCTGTTTTAAACTTTGGATATTGAACCAAAAAGAAAAAATAAAAAAGGAAAGAAAGAAAGAAAAAGATCTCAGAAGGAAAGCATTCCTCTGGATCCCCAGGAAATAATGATGTGCGATGCAAATTGTGAATAAGATGTGTTGAGGGGGGAGGGGCAAAGCTAGAAATGGCAGAAGGGCCAGTAAAATCGTCACAAACGTTGCTTCCTTGCTCTGTGTGAGTTTTCTGCTCCTCTTGAGTGTCCGGGCGTGCACATAGTCGTTGTGAAGTTGTCGGTGGCTTTGATTTTCGCGTGAGTCCCCCCAGGACCGAGCCAGGCGGGCGGGAGGGGTGTGCGGCGGTAGCGTAGACGGACCCGGTCGCTCTGGACTCTAACTCATAGGTGCGTTCCTGCTTTCTTTGGTGTCTCACCAATTAGCCAGCTGTTGAATAAAATTATAAATATGTTAATACCAGCTTTTTCCAATAAAATAACAAATGTTACATCGAAAGCGAGGCTCAGAAGGCTGCTTGTTTTCTGTGAGGCCGACCCCAGGGCGGGGTCCCAGAGGGCGGATGGAGACCCATGGGCGGGCGCCCAGGGGGAGGTGGGTGGGCCTCACTCAATGCTTGGTGCCTCCAGCCCCCAATGCAGCCTTGAGCCCTTCCAAGCTCTGAGGTCATCCCTGGGGAGACAGGGCTCTAATAATCCTGGCCTTGTGGGTGTGGGTGTGGGGTATGGGTGTGGGGAGGGGCGAGATGAAACCAGCCAGCCCTGCACGGCCCGGTGCAGCGCCGACACTCTCCATCAGGGCCGCTGGTCGTGCTTTGTATTGTTTGAAGCAGGTGAGCAGAGCCCACCACAATTTCCAGATATTCTCACTCTTTCCCGGGATCTTTTTTGACCCTCATATCCAACTCACCCCTGGGAGCCCAGGCCTTGCCTCTCCATTTTCAAGAGGGCGTTTCCCCCTTCAGGCCCAGCAGGAGGAAGGCAGGAGCTGTTCTGCTGGGTCTGCTGGCAGGACCGACCTGGGCTAAATTCGCCATCAGCCACACGGCCCTCAGGACAGAGCATGAAGGAGGAGAAAGCTGCTTCCTGGCTGTGTGACCTTGGACATGTGGCTAACCTCTCTGAACCTCACATGTAAATAGAGAGCAGTGTTGCTCCTTCTCAGTTGGGATGACTGAAGAGATAAAAAATACGTTATTGAACCCCGTGTTCCACGGTGTGGGGGTCTTCACGTGCAAGATCTCGTTTAGGCTTCTTATTATCCCTTTTGTAGGGAAAGCGGGAAGTACTGTTATTAGACCCCCTTTACACATGGAGAAACTGAGGCTTAGAGAGATTAAGGAATTTAACTTGTGCCCAAATTCAGCAGTATGTGGTAGAGTCTGGATTCAAACCCAGATGGTGAAAGTGCCAGGCACATGGCAGGTGCTCAAAAGATGGTAACAAATATCACGGCCTCGGCCCCACCCAATGCAGCTTCGCCCGGCACTGCCTGGGCACAGGCTCCGGGACTCTGCTGGTGAGATTCCGGTTGTGCGCCTTGAGATGGCGAGAGTATCCTGGCTTATCCAGGTGGGACCAGCCTGGCACAAGAGTCCTTGAAAGTGGAGAACCTCTGCTGGCTGTGCTCAGAGGGAGATGCCCGACAGAAAAAGGCTCAGAGGGATGGGACACAAGGACTCCACCTGCCGTCGCTGGTTCTAAAGGTGGAGGAAGGGGCTGCCAGCCGAGGAACGTGGGCCCCTCCAGAAGCTAGGAAAGGCGAGGAAATGGACTCTCCCCGGAGCCTCCGGAAGGAGTGCAGCCCTGCCCACACCTTGACTTTAGCCACTGAGACCCACGTCGGACTTCTGACCCACAGACTGTGAGAGAATAAATGTGTGTGGTTTAAGCCACTGAGTTTGTGGTCATTTGTCGCAGTGGCCCTAGGAGATGAATACACTCAGGTACCCTCGTTCTGATTCCCCAGCCACTCCTTTTGGTGGATTGCTGCCCACTTTGAGCCGATGAGGGCCCTCAGAGATGCCCAAGCACTTGCCTGAGGTTGCACAGCACGTAAGCAGGCAGCAACGGCAGGATGGGACTCCACGTTGCCCTTCTTTAGGGTGGCCGGGGTGAGACCCTGCAGAGAGCACCTGGCAGTGTTCAGGGGCCAGATGGTGGCAGAGAGGGGAGGGCAGGGCCCTTAGAGGTCCAGGGACTAGTGGGGAGCTCAGCCTCAGGCAGGGCAGCCAGGCCAGCTCTGTCTGCGCCTGCACACGTGGACGGGCCTCTACTCCATGCCAGGCCCTGTGGGCAGGCCACAGAGGGGAGCCTCCGAGCAGGTCGCGTGAAATCATGCGCACTCTGCTTCCCTCCCCGACCTCTCCCACCTGCAGACCATCGTCTGCTCGGATGAAAACGTAATTGTCCTCCCGTCTCTCCCCGGCCCTGAAAGCTCTGAGGCTCCTGACCCGCGCTGGGCTGTGTCCGTGAGCCTTGGCCTGGCGTGTGGGCCACTTGGGGATCTGCCCGGCTGCCTGCCAGCGTCCTTTCCCTCCACGGTCCGTGTCATTACTGGACTCACAGCGCACACTGCTGAACGGTCACTGCACTAGGCACCATGCTGGAGCTCTGTGCACATCATCTCCTTTCATCTGCAGTCACCCTCGGAGAGGAGGCTGTGATTTCCCTCGTTTGAGAAATAAAGAAACTGAGACACAAAGAGGGGGTTGACTTGCCCAAGGCCACAGACTTGTGAGTGCTGGAGCTGGGATCTGACCCCCGGCAGCATATCCCCAAACCGGTCCTGGGCTCTCGCCACCTGCACCACCTCGGGTCCCTGCGGGCGATTTCTGTGGATGCTTCCAGGCCCCTGCTCAGGCTCTTCCTCTGCCTGGAACTGACTTCAGCAGCCTGGAGCCCCCGGCTGGGTCAGGCCTGCATAAGTTCAGCCACTGGATGCAAACTTTAACAAAGGATTCCCAGCTTCCAGGGGCGGTTTCCTAGCAACCGAGAAGCTTTTAGAGCTCAAAATAATTGCCCAAGTCGTGAGTGATTCATTTCCAACAGCCATGTCCTTTTTTTAAAAACAAAGCCCCATTATCTCTACCTGGATACTGTCAGAATTACACAGGGGGCCCACACAGTCAAATGACATGATGAGTTTCAGAGAGGGACTGAAAATCTGCAAAAGGCAGCAACATTAGGAGGACAAAAGTAAAAATGAAAATTGAAAATAATCTATTATTAAAATTATGCAAAAAAGTCCAAACATGCAAAATAGATATGGGTGTGAGGAGAAGTGAATTCTTCGTTTAATACGTTTGTAAAGCCTATGAGAGGCGCAAATGACCGTGTCATTTATGAATGTTCCCAAATAAGAACTAACTGCACCTTGGAAGGGTCACCATCTGTCTTTGCAAATCTACTTAATCACTCATTTATTCATTCAACAAACATTTTCTGAGCACCTACTATGCGAACAGCAGTGAGGCTAAGTGGCTCAGAGCAGGATGCTGGAGCCCAGCTGCAGGGATTCACAGCCTGGCTTCAATGGTAGCTGTGGATCTTGGGGACGCGGCCAGCCCTTGCTGCGCCTCAGTCTTCTCATCTACAAAGGGTGGAGAATGACGGTACTCACCGTGTGGGTGGTGTGGGTTAAACAAGGAAGTCTTTGCGTAAGTGGTCAGCACAGAGCCTGGGTCCCCCGGAAGCCCGTTGATGGCATCATCGCTCTTCTCTCCCACTTCAGTGAAGTCTTGCTAAACCCTGCAGCGTGGGAGGAATTGGGGGCAGTCTGTGTCCATGCTGAGGATGAAGAGGCCTGGCTGGGAGGGCCACAGTGGCGGCCCGCGGGAGGGAGGAGGGCGCGGGGGAGGTGGGGGGTGGGGATGTTACAGGCCCTTAATTAATACTGGCCCTGATATCGGTTCCCCTACAGTGAAGCCAGCATATATGGGGTAAAACCCAAAGCACACATCCCAGTCCCCTGCTTCTTTAGCTACACTCTGCTTCTTTAACCTCTGACTCCCCGAGCTATGGAGCCAAACAGAAGTTACAAATTGTTGAAGCCCAGGTGGCCTCACACTGGGCTCCCACTAAAGTTGGGCTCATCACAGTGTGGGTCCTTGAAGTTTATCACAGGAAAACTAATGTCCAGAGAATATCGAGAAACCGAAGCTTCCCAGGCCGAACTCCTCGGCTTCCTGACGTCAGAGTCCACCACGGAGACAGACCGGCAAGGGCAGCCACCTGCAAAATTCCCTTACCTCCACCTCCTTGCAAGCAGCAAACCCTTAAAACCCTTTACTCATTTCTTAAGGGGGAGCTAACAATTCTTAAGGCACTGGCCGTTGCTTTGCTCCTTCTGCCTGGCAAAGAAAGTAAAGCCTTTCCTTTCCACTCCAGACTCTGTTCTTGTTCCTGGGATTGGCATCGGGATCAGAGACGGAAGCTTCAGTAATAGCGAGGAGTAGAGGGTTTGCTGCAGCCTGGAGCCAGCAGGCTGACCAAGACCACCAGCACCCGCCAGGATGGTCTGGGGGTCCGCGTGCACCCCCGGGCCCCTGGAACTGCTGGCCGGAATCTGGATGCCCTACAGCCAAGCAGGGTGGGAGGGTGGTGGGCGCTTGCTGTTTGTTGCCACCAGCAGCCACGTTCCCCTCTCTTGGTAACTGGGTTCTGAACTGGTTGGGGGAAGTCCCTGCTCCGTGTGCAGGCTGGGGGAGGTGTCAGTGCAAGTAGCCTGGCCCTCCCGTCATGGGGCTGGTGTGTGGCCCCTGGCCCTCGAGAGCTCGTGGGAGAGTGCGTGTGAGGCCCCGTGAGATGGAGACCCCAGGAGCCGTGCAGTTTCTGTCACTGACGTAACAGTCCGAGCTAGTAAGGCGGCTTCAGTCTACAAGGCTGGCAGGAGCTGGTGGGGACGGGATGTATCTCTGTCCCTTATGGGTGTGGCCTTCCCATCACTCTCACTGGACAGGAATTAGGCACAGCACAGAGGAGGCTGGGAAATGAGGCTGCTCTTGGGTACCCAGAGGCCCAGCTCAAGGTCAGGGCTCCACTACCACAGAAGACGGGGATTTGTGGATACAGAGAGCAGCTGTCTCTGCCTCAGACAGAAAAACGAGGTGGTGCTGCTCCTTCCAGTGCCTGAGCCCACACAGCCCGAGAGAGGCCCTGGGTCTCGCCCTCCCACGGACTTTTCCACCAGAGTCCATTCTGTGACTTGCCACCAAACCATCCCAACAGGTAGAAGAGATCCGATCACTATGCTCTTGTAACGTAACACGGGCTGCTTCTCCTACGGTGGTGAGCGCCCAACGGCTGGTCTCCCACAGGAACGACTGCTCAGGACAGAGAACGTCCCCTTTCTGGAGGCCCAATGGGGACCACAAGCGGGCAGATCCCGGAGAGGGGCAGCGGGGCGAGGGTCCCCATGGCACAGGTTCAGCCTGAGGGCAGGTGCAGGCGAGGCCACAGGGGAGGCTGACACACTGCCCAGGAGAAAACCCCAACACTTTGAAGGATAGCAGGCAGAGAACAGACATCCATTTATTTCCAAGAGGCACTGGGTGTGAGGTCTCAGGAGCTAGGCAGTGGGGTAGCAGGTGCCCGGATCTGGGGACCCGAGCCCTGTCCTTGGCCCACATCTGACACCCTGTGACTCCTGCTTGGGGAGACCGGTCACCATCAAAGAGCCTGGGCCTGTCCTGTCAGAGCAACAAGCAAGGGGAACTGGGGAGATGAGCCCTTGGGCACACCACGGGGGAGGAAATCCCCAGGGACTGAATGGTGGAGGCGGGCGAGAGTGACAAAGAAAAGTAGAGTCCTGGGTTCAAGAAGAAACAGAGATTAGGACGTGAGCCAAGGCCTGAACAGTGTCCCTGGGCCGAGGAGCTAACGACCACCAGATTCCCCTGTCCTGGGGCTCCCCCAGCCGGGGTGGTCAGCAGCCCTGAACGCTGGGGCTGGGATAAGGCCGGTGCTGGGAGAAGAGCTGCAGGGATGCAGCGCTGGGGAGGCAGAGGCAAGAGGGCGAGCAGAGCGTGGACGGCGGGGCTCACCCAGGGGTGGTGTTTTGCCACCCAGGTATTTAGGGTGTTACCGAGTACTCGGCCTGCAAGCTGGATAAGAAGGAAGATCGAAAAGGACAAGAAAGTGGGCAGTGAAAGAACCTGCAGTGTCTTTAGGGCGTCGAGCTGGTTGTGGCAGGTGGTCCTCAATGGCAGGGACAAACGTGCAGCCTGTCGGGGGAGACGAGCACAGGGCTGGGGCAAGCTCCCCTCCGCCAGGACCCTAAAGGAGCAGCGAGCCGTGGCTGGGGGCCTGGGGGAGGGAGCTCTGCCCTGTACACCAGACTGACCGTGACGCTGTGTTGTACCCCAGTCTGGCTGCCGTCTGCCCGGCCCAGGTGAGTGACGGGAACCCACCGCAAGTTGTGGCGCAGGTTTGGGCCGGAGCATTGGAAGGGACGAAAGTCCACCCGGAGACACTGGCTGAGGAGACGGCCCGGCAGGTGCAGGTGGGAAGTCAGGTCCCCCTGGAGACTGCGCCCACAGCAAGGGCGGCAGATTTAGGCTTAGATTATTTTTAAGAGGTGACTTAAGCAAGTTCCCAAGGACACTTGACATTTTGGGTGGTACAAATAGGTAATGACTCTGCGGTACTTTTTATCCCAACATTTAATTATGAAAAATGTGGTTGAGTACCCTTTTAAGAACATCCTTATCCATTCTTTTCATTCCTTTCTAAAAAGTAACTACTGTATCTAACTGACATGCCTATTCTGCCCCTGCTTCCAGAAGGGGCTCGAGGTCCCTGAGAACTTCCTGCTTCCAGGGGCACCTGTCATCAGAACACAGAGCTCTTCTGTCCCCTGACAAAATAGGCCCGTGTGCAGCAGGAGTGCCAGCCTGGTGGTCTGGTGGGTAAGCTCTGGTGCTCTTACCTCTGCGGCTTGGGTTTGTTTCGCAGTCAGGGGACCACACCTCCCATCTGTCAGTGTCACACTGTGGCAGCTGTGTGTTGCTGTGATGCTGAAAGCTACGCCACCGGGATTTCAAACACCAGCAGGGTCCCCCATGGTGGACAGGTCTCAGTGGAGCTGCTGGACTAGACAGACTAGGAAGAAGGAGCTGGCCACCCATTTCCAGAAAAACTGGCCATGGAAACCCTATGAATAGCAGCGGAGCACTGATACGGTGCCAGAAGGGGAGAGGATGGCGTGAAAAAGACCGGCAGGGCTCCCCTCTGCTGTCCCCAGGGCGCTGGGAGTCTGAATCCACTCGACGGCACTGACAGCACAATGACAGAGCACAGATGCTTCCCTCCTGGCCCATCCGTATTGCTACATATGTGCACTTCAGCTTCAACTACACGGGAAGAACTTTCAACTTTACACTGCTCCGCGTCGCTGGGAGGAGACCACGGGCGTAGGGGCCAGCAGGGCGGCAGCGCGGCTTGAATCCCAACTCCATCAGGACTAAGCTGTGTGAGCCGGGCCAGAGCACTAACCTCTCTGGACCTGTTTCTGCTCCGTGTGAGCTCCCGTGGCTGCTCTAACAGATCACCATAAACTTAGTGGCCTAAAACGACACAAGTTTATTATCTTCCGGTTCTGGAGGTGGGAAGGCTGGAATGGGTCTCACTGGGCTAGAATCAAGACGTCAGCAGGGCTGGTTCTAGAGGCTCTAGAGGAGAAGCCATTCCCTGCCTTCTCCCGTTTCTAGAGGCCACCTGCATCCCTTGGCTCATGGCCCCTTCCTCCATCTTCAGAGCCAGCAGCGTCGCCTCTTGAATCTCTGACTCTGACCCTCCCGCCTCTCTCTTATAAGGACCCTTGTGATTACATGGGGCCCATCTGGATAATCCAGGATAATCTCCCCATCTCAAAACCCTTGATGTCCCCCATCTGCAAAGTCCCTTTTGCCTTGTTTAGGGGATTAGGACATGGGCATCCTTGGGGGGCCGTTATTCTGCCTGCCACATCCTCAGGATGGAAATGTCTCTCTTGCAATGGCTGCTGTGATGATTAAAGGGAAAAAAAAAACATGTTAAGCCCCAGCACACAGTAGGACTCCATGAATGCTGGCCAATTGGACAGAAGCATCTAAGACGCTCATGGTAGGTGATTGTCACACTTTACTCTACCTGCCATTATGTCCCTTTATTTATTGGCTGACGGTCCCTCTCCTCTTAGGGAACATCACCCCCGCCAGTGCAGGGACTGTTCTGTTCACTGCTGCATCCCCTGTGCTGGGGAAGAGCGAAGCACACAGTAGGTGCTCAATATTTGCTGAATGAATGAGTATTAATTTTTTTCACCATGAATAAGAAGCCCTGGTCACCAGATGGAGACTGTGCCTGTCAAAGTGTGCTCTCCCCAGGCTTCCCCATGAGACTGTGATGGCACAGAAAGCTGGTATTTGTTTCACTCTGACACCCAAACAGGTGGCTCAGGAGTTGGGATGGTTAAAGGATTCTGTCATCTGAGGGCAGATTCCAGAAAGACGAGGTTCTGCTTGGTGGGCAACTTTGAAACAGGCAACTGAAGAAATCTGGGTTCTGCCACCTGGGAGTGTGGGCACATGATGTGGGATCAGGATGTAGGAACTGAGTTCAAAAAACGGAAAAGCATGTGGAAAATTGAACATCGAGTAATCGGTCTCTAGCAGCGTGTCCAGAAGGAGGCAGGGTGGTCTTTCTGACTGTCTTCCACGCCCCCCAGAGAATGGTCAGTGCAGGCTCCGTGAAGAATGCCCCTCTGGGGCGTGGGCAAGAGGGGGTCTCACCATGCTGCCTTGGAAACTGGCGCCACACCCTCTCCAGGTGCTCAAGATGGCGCCACCCAGTTGGGTCTTTCCTGAGCAGCTCAAATGCTACTATTGCCTCATGGAAGCTCCAGGAGACCCCACCCTCCACAAATCACACAGCCCCGCCCCCGTGCTCCCACAGCCCCGGGGGATGAAGGCCCAGCAACGAGGTGCCCAGACGTGGTGTTGAGGGCTGCCCCTACGGCCGGCATGGCCTTTCCTGGAAGATCTGAGGGACAGCCCCTCTGTGCAGTGTTTTGAAAAGGGAATTTAAGACCCAGAAAAATGGTGATTTCTTCATGGCCTGATAAAAAGAACAAGATTTGGTTCCCATCCCAGCTCTGCCACCTCCTAGCCATGTGACTTTGAGCAAGTCCACACAAGGTAAACATGAACTTTTAAGCATTCTCATATGTCAAATGTGGAGAGGGGGAGGCGTGGGACCTGGTTACGAGGACCAAATGACCTCACGTAAACAAAGTGCCAGACCCACAGCAGAGCTCTGAAATCTGAGTCTCTTTCTCCTGGCAGAGGCGGGGTCAGCTCGGGGAAGCAGGAGCCTTTGCCCCCAACAGTCTGACCTCCATCCACCCCTCCATGTGTCTCACACCTGGTCCTGGGCCCGCAGGCAGCGGCCTGTTTATCAACAGGAAAGGAGGATGGCGAGCACGTCATGGAGCCTCGGGACCACAAGGGCCAAGGGCATTCTGATGTTTTCGGCCTCATGGAAGCTGTCCAGAGCCGGTCTCCAGCACTCCAGGGCTGTAGCCACCAGGCCTGCTGGGAAGGGAATGGACAGCTTTTCACTTTTTCTTAGCGGGGCCCTGGCTTCGGGGCCAGGAGGGGCTCCCAACTGCCTGCGGAACGGAGGCCCAGTTCCAATCTGGCCTCTTGACAGTAAGCTCTCTCCTCGGGAAGCCCTGGCATCCTGGGCCATGCCTGAGGCCTTCCAGGGTGCCCCGAGTGTGGACTAGTCTTCCTCTGACCTCTCCAAACCAACTGCTCCCCTTGCTGTCAAAATGGGGCAAACCCCACACCCTCCCAGCAGCCTTCCTGCCCCCATCTCCTACCACAGGCTGGAAGGTCCCCGCTCTCTGGGCTCCCACACTTCTGACTCTGAACCAGGGCTACTCACGTCTGACTTGTGCGATTTTCCTTGGGGCGGGCCCTGGGTTTGACTCCAACTGTGGGATTACAGCGTCTGCTCAGCATCACAGTGCAATAAATATTTGCTCAAGGGCGGCAACGAATGCATTCAAGGCTCATTAATTAAGTTAAACAAGGAATGTTTTAGATGGTAAGTCACAGGTATTGGCCAAGCTTTTCTGGACATGTCATCATGAGGAATTGAACCCGTGACACAGGGAGGGAGGCAGGACGTGAGTCCCAGGGCGTGGGGGTGAGGCGGGGGTGCAGACAGCATCATCAGCCCCCAGCCCCTGTCTGGATTAAGCCACTCCAGTCAGCACCAATCTAAATGTGGTTATTTTCACAAAGTTTAACTTTTTAAAAAGCCAGAAGAGGGGCCATCCCGGTGGCACAGCGGTTAAGTGCGCACGTTCTGCTCCGGCGGCCTGGGTTTCACCGGTTCGGATCCTGGGTGCGGACATGGCACTACTTGGCAAACTATGCTGTGGTAGGCATCCCACATATAAAGTACAGGAAGATGGCATGGATGTTAGCTCAGGGCCAGTCTTCCTCAGCAAAAAGAGAAATATTGGCAGCAGATGTTAGCTCAGTGCTAATCTTTCTCAAAAAAAAAAAAAAAGCCAGAAGGGACAGTTTGCCTCGTGAGGGACTGTCTGAAGGTTCTTAATTGGTTCTCAAGCTCCATGAATGTTTAACTCCTTTTAAAAAATTCACAAATGTTTACTGAGCATTTCCTAGGGCCTGACTATTCTAACCACAAGAAAATTAACTCGTTTAAGCCTAAAAAAAAGAAAACCCATGAGGCAGGTCCTGTTATATCCCCAATTTACAGAAAAGGAAACTGAGGCCAGAAGAGGAAACCATGACCTTGCCCAAGGTCACACAGCTGGGAAGGCCCAGAAGTGGGTTCAGACCCGGCAGCTGGCCCCTTGTTCTCACCTGCTGTGTATGTTACACCTGGACTTACAAATAACACTCGTCTTCACTTCAGACTGGAGTTCTGTACATTTAGTTTCTTAGAAAAGGTTTCACTGTTAAGAAGTTTTAGAAACCACTGGCCCGGCCCAGACTTCTCGTTTTACGGATGGGGACACTAAGGCCGATAACAGGGGCTGAAGGGCTCCTGGTCACACAGGACTTTGTGATGGAGGCCATAGAACTGGGGCAATACCCAGTCTGGGGCCACCCTCATGAGGCCACACTGCCCCTGCACTAAGGAGGGGGCTCTGCCGGGGAGCCGAGCAGGGTGGTGGCCCAGGGGCCAGGGGCCAGGCAGATCTCAGTCCAGTCCTGCCTCTGCTGCTAACATGGGGCATGACCTCCTCCCTGAGCCTCAGTCTTCTCTTCTGTGGATCAGGGTTGTCACACAGTGAGGATCGGACGAGGTCATCTGTGTTCCCCTGGAAAGCAGCAGTGGCTCCCCATTCCCCACTGGACACCACCCCCCCCGGACAATCAGGGGTGCATCTGGGAGGCGAAGTGGAAGTGTGAATGCATTTCGTGGCTCACAAATCTGTGGGATCAGAGAGGGGGATGAGGGGTGCCAGTTTTGTCCTCAATGTCAGAGAAGAAACCAAAGACCTGGGGGACTCAGACAGACACATATCCCCCGCCGAGGGACCCTAAATGGCTCAAGTTCTCATTCTAATTCTATGGAAGTACCATCGTCTGCCACTGAACATGGGATATGGTTTCACAAGCACATGGCCGAACGGGGGCAGCTACCAAGCATGAAGGCCCACTATGCGCTGCTGCATCAGTGACGCAAGGTGCACAAATAACTGTGACCACGCGGCTTCTCACCCAGGGAGAGCTGAGTGGACACCGGGTGGTCGCAGCCGGCCCTGGGGGGCCCCGGCCTGGAGGTGGTGCCAGGGTCTGCTCACTGGCAGGTGGGCTGCCAGCTCCCGAGAAGGGCAGTTCTGCTCTTTGCAACTCACACCGCACCTGGGTCTAGTTCAGAGCAAGTGTAGACACCTGCTGATTCTCATGCATGTAGAAGAGACTTTTAAATAAAGGAAAGAGGAAAAGGACAGTAATTGCATCAAAGGTTTTATTTCGGCTGCTTTAGGACCTTGGTTTTCCGCTCCGGGACAGAACTCGGGCAAGTTTTCTAAGGACAGGGAAGGGATGCCCTGGGGTCTTAATATTTCCCGGTCCCGGTGGATTCTGGCAAGACCCTCAGAAACTCCCCTCTGGCTCTCCACTGGATAGGAGAGCCAAGAGGTGGGCTACAGACCCAGAGCTCAGCATGGGCATGCTGTGCCGGGGCTGCCGCTTCTCTGGCCCCAATGGATGGAATCCGGCAGGGCCCTGACCACATGACAGAGCTCAGGCAGCCTTGCGCAGCCCCCAGGATCGGCAAACAGCTGTCAAGGCTTAGCAGCCACCAAATAAATAAGAAGAGCTGTCACGGAGTTTACAAAGCAACGCATTTGGTTCTTTAAAAAACAAATCCAACACAAAGTAAATAAGGGGCCATGGGTGCTGGGAGGTGGGGGGAGAAGGGAGGACACCATCTGTAAAGTGCTTTTCAGGACACAGGAATCCCAGTCTAGCCTGGCATGCCAGCCCACTCTAAAGGTCGGGATTGTGGGTCAAGACCGTGCATGCAATTTCCAGCCCTGCTGGCATCCAAAGGAGACAGAGTTAAAGCAGGCCACTCACAGAAGTGTGAGCAGACCACACGCACACAGAGGCCTCCAGAGCTCGGCATTTGCAAATGGAGCACACACACGCATGCACACTTAGTGTTAGTACTGTGCCGTCTGGCTGGGTGGCCACACGAGGGAAAGGCCCCTCAGCAGGGCCGCGATCACACTGCCGACAGGAAGGGGAAGAAGAAGAAGTCGAAGGCAAACTTGACGGCACTGTGCACCGTGCTGCGCCAGTCGTGCTCGATCTTCACGTGCCGCCTGGCCGGCGAGAGCTCGGCCATGCAGTTGAGGCAGCTGATGGCCTTGAGCTCGAAGACGGGCCACTTGCTGCCCAGGCGGCCCTCGAGAATGGTGCTGAACTCGATGAGGCTGCCCTGGCGCAGGTTGAGCAGCACGTTCTTGAACTCGCTGCTGGCCCGCAGCACGATGTCCTTGGTGACGTCGTCCTCCTCCGGGCTGCGGCTGCCATTGGCGCCTCTGTATGGCATGCCCACGGTGATCTCGAACTTGTAGCGGTCGAACTTCTTCATGTGGCAGGGGTGCTTGGCCAGGAGCCGGAGGCGGCAGAGCTCCTCCTCGGCCGTGGAGGCGTTGCCGGGGCTGCAGGAGGGGTAGGGCTCGCCGTACAGGCAGCGCATCCAGTCGCCGATGAAGAACGGGAGCATGTTGATGGCCGACTCGGCGCTGTTGTCGATATCCGTCACCCGGACGTACTTGAAGCGGCCCGTCCATGTGACCCTGTGGCCCTCCAGGTGGCTGCACAGGATCTGGGTGCGCGCCATGTTGGTCTCCTTCCAGGCGCGCGGCCCACACAGGAAGCCGTACTGCTGCCAGCTGAGCGTGGAGTTGTAGACGGTCATGCCCTCTGACCGGCACACGTAGAACCAGCAGAAGAGCACGACGGCCGTGATCCACACCAGGATGAGCTTGACGAGCGAGCTGCGCGTCAGCGACTTGACCATCCCCACCACCGACAAGTTGGCCTTGGTCCACCAGCGCAACAGCAGGGGGATACTGCAGACCACCATGGTGACCACGATCTTGGTGAGCTCCAGGGACACAAACCAGCGGGCGAACTGCACCACGCCCATCAGGGCCAGGCCAGCCACCAGGATCGGGAGAGCGAAGAGGAAGAGGAAATAGCCGATGGAGGCACGGACCAGCCCCAGGCCGGTGGACTCGAGCAGGACGACCACGGAGAGCTCGCACCACATGAAGCAGACCAGGTAGGGAACCAGGTAGCAGTAGGTGCCCTTGAAGCGCCTCAGCCGGGCCATGCGGAAGAACAGGTATAGCAGGTAGACGTAGAGCAGGCAGGGGATGCTGACATGCAGGACAGCGAAGTGGCCGAGGGGCACACTGACGAAGGGCTGACCCAGGAGCTTCAGGCAGCGCCAGTCCAAGGGCACCGTGGGCAGGAGGGAGAGCAGGCCGGCGGCCACCTCGGTCAGCAGGGCCCTCCTGGTGTAGGGCTCGGCACAGGTGCTCAGGCTCAGGTAGCTGGTGATGGTGAAGAAGATGGACACGATGGCCAGCTCTGAGCAGGGGATGCAGTCCTTGCTGGCGATGGGGAAGGAGAAGATGACGAAGACGACGGAGAGCAGGAAGTGGACGTAGGGCTCCAGGTGGTTCCAGCCGAAGTTCACCTCAGCCTGCTCCACGTCCAGGTTGGGCTCGAAGCGCAGCAGCAGGCCCGTGAGGGTGCGGAAGCTCTCCCAGGCCTTGCCATCCTGGAAAACCTTGAGGGTGCAGATCACCATGGAGACAAAGGACAGGTAGAAGATGACCAGGGGGACGAAGAAGGCAAAGAAGTCAACGGTCAGGTTGCTGATGATGAAGAAGAAGATGAGGGCGTTGATGTGGTGGGTGGGCACGATGGTGGACAGCCAGTGCATGCCCGCACGGGAGGCCACGTCGATCAGGTACTCTTTGATTTCCATGATGGCGTGCAAGGGGTACTTCACCACCTGGGGGTGGAGATGAAGACGGGCATGGGAAACACGCCAGGACAGGAGCCCTACAAGCTGTCATCTCAGCACTCCCTGTCAACGACCCTAGCTCTGGGCGCAGTGACAACTCACTCCTGCCGTTTTTTCACCACTGGGCCTTTTGTCCGAGCGGATCCTTGCACGTGGAACACCCTCTCTATGTGGTGACATCCTCTCCATGCTTCCAGCCTTCCATTGATTCCACCCAATCCTGCAGGTCCTGGCGCCCCCTCTTCTGGGCCCCTGGAGCCTGTCCCCGACTCCCAGCTTTCTGCCAGGTTTCCAGGCTCCCGCGTGCTAGCACCCCTTGCAAGCCCTCAAGCCCCTGGAGGAATCCACCCGGCTCCACTCTGCCCTCCCGCTGGTAGAGATGACAGAACCCTGGGCTGTTGGTGTGGGAGCTAGGCTGCCCTGCAGCAAGGATGTCACCTCCTGAGCCTCGGTTCCCCATC